TCCATGGCTCAGTGTAACCCAACATATAATTTTTAGGGTACAACAATAATTACTCACAAAACCTCACCAAGTAAGGTAGATGGGAGCCCTGGCAGAAACAAACACAAGAAGGAGAGGGCTTTGAACCAACAAGATTCAGGCTTCACCTATAAAATAATATTTGAAACAAAGACTGTAAAGAAGGACTGTCAGTAACTCCCAACTCAGCGAAAAATAATTAAACAGTGCTAGAGATAGCAACTAAAGACAAAAGTGGTGCTGATGGAGTAGAGGTGGCTGTTTTACCACCTCTGACTTTAAATGCATGCAGGTTGGCTTCTACAGCCAGTCAGCTGTAGGAGGGGTTTAAAAGAAAAGAAGAGAATGTTAATGAGGATTATAAAAAGAAACAGTCAGTGCACTGTCATAACACCTCCTTCTCCAAGTATTGAATAATGAGCCAGCAGAACCAGTATTCAACAGGACAAAGAGAGCGTGTCAGCATGTCAGACAGACTTGACTTTGAGGCTGAAGGACTTTAAAGGCAACCCCCAACGCGTCAGTCGCTCGTTTGACTTGTTCTTTCGACTGATGATGACAAGAGGACACAAAAGGACAAGCGATGTGTCAGATTATTAAAGCAGCACCAGTCAAACACACATTAACTTTATTTTTAAAAGCTGTAGGTCAGAATGATGTGACCTCAACATGTTTAATCATGCAGACTCTGTTTGATGTCATGTTTATTGGTTAACAAGAGACCGTAAATAAACTCTTAATTTGTTTGGCTCTTTGCAGTTTTTTCAGTGAAAACTACACAGCGGAGGCTCGGCAGGTGTTGTCTCATGCAAACCATCCTAAACTAGGGTAAGAGACCTTCGATTCATATACCTTCCACTGGTGTTTGTGTCACATGATGTAGACTTTATTCATTTTTTGAAATTACGTTTTCCGTATGCACAGTATGTCATTTCTACGGTGCACTTTATACTTTTTTTTTTTAAAGGTATTCCTATGCAATAGTTGGGATCAACTTGACAGAGATGGCTTACAGCCTGCTAAAGAGTGGCGCTTTGAAACCACATTTCTACAACGCAGTGCAGGGCACGCCTGAGCTCCAGCACTTTCATCAGCTGTACTGTGAGTAGTCGAATCACACTGCTTTTTGTTCTGTGCGTCTGATTATACACTCACCGGTGGCTTCATTAGGTGCAGTCTCAAGATTGCTAATCTTGGGTTGGACCCCTCTCTGGCTTCACAGCTGCTGTAATTCTTCATGGCAATGAAGTGCTGGAAACATTTCTCAGATTTTTGCCCATATTGACATGATGGCGTCACACAGTTTGACTGTGACAGTGGATTTTTGTACAGTGACCTCAATGTCATGTGTAAGAAGCCACTTTGAGATGGTCTGAGCTTTGTGTCATAATGTGTTATCTGCTGGAAGCAGCCATCAGTAGATGGTAACACTGTGATCATAATGGGGTGGACATGGTCAGGAATAATACTCAGGTAGGTTGTGGTGTTTAAATGATGCCCAGCTGGTACAAAGGAGCCAAGAAAATGTGCCAAGGAAATATTACACCACCAGCAGCAGCCTGAGGTGGGATCCAAACGTTCATGGTATTTATGCCAAGTTCTGAATGTTGCAGCAGAAATCGAGACTCATCAGATCAGGCGACATTTTCCAATCTTCTTCTGTTGTCCAATTTTGGTGACCCCTGAATATTTCCTCTCTTTTAAACTCAAAGATCGTTGTGTGGAAAAATCCCAGCAGATCAGCAGTTTCTGAAACAGACCAGTCCATCTGGCACTGCTATCCAGTTCACATTTAAAGTCACTTAAAAAGTCACTTAAGTCACAATTTGAACTTCAGTAGGCCACTTGGAGCATGTCTACATGCCTAATTGAGTTGCTGCCATGTGATCAGCCAAATTAAATATGCAGTAATGAGCAGTTGAACAGGTGTATTTAAGGAAGTTGCCTGGTGAGTGTATACAAACAAAAACATTTTCTGATAGAAGGTAAATTTTTCAAAAATGTGTGTCTTTCCTCCTTACAGGCTATCTGGCGTATGAATTCGATAAGTTCTGGGTGGCAGAAGAACCCGAGAGCATCATGCAGTTCAACCAATACAGAGAAAAATTCCATAACATAGTCAGGACACACCTACAGGACCCTGGTGTGTGTCTCACATTGACTGTCGGCTCCAAGAACTAAAAGCGTTTTTCACGATGTTACGATTGGTAGAAGGAGAAGCAGGAGAGTTCCTCGTAAACGTAGCTGAGCATTAAAACCCTAAACGCAGACTGAATACTGTTCGGCCCCTCCAGACAAGATCCAGACCAATAAATCCTCTTGTGTTTGGTTTTGTGGTTCATTCATAACGCGCGTATCATTGTTGTAATGATATTTAAAGTTTCTCAAACTGAGCACAAATCCAACGCCCTGTACCTCAAAAACAATCATTCCAGAGGGCTTTCGATCACAAAGAGGACTGTAGAGAAAGTAATGGATCCGTCGTTTTGTGAGGCTTTAAGCACTTTGAGTGAGCAAGCAGCCAAATTGTTATATTTAAAGACAGGAAAGGACAGAAGTCCTGCTCAGGAATTTGAAGTTTATGTTAAGAGATAATGGCTAAAACTTGATGTGAGGAGTGATTTCCACTTAATTTTTCCTCTTGTGGTGCTGTCAGCTTAAAAGTCTTGCATGATTTAACGTGTCCCCACTGATGTCATTGATCTGTACTGTAAAATGTACTGTTAGTGATGTGGAACTCTAAACTATACTAAGCTCCTGTTTTCATAACGTTGTGTATCTTTAGACTGATGCTGAATTTTTATGACCTGATCTTTTTATGCCGTGGGTTTACATTTGAGGAATGTATGTAATGACTCACATCTCACTCACTCCAAGTTAGTAAATGCAGATTTGTTTTGAAATGTGCTTCGTGTCCATGTGTTTAAAAGGCAAAAACAAACCACAACAGTTTGTGTAAAACAAGTCTGGTAAATTCAGGACCTGCATAAACACATCCTTTTATGCTTTATTATGGGTACCAGTCGTTCAGTGTAAAGGCACACTGCTTTAAGCTAGCTAACATATAAAACTGACAGGTTTAGTCATACAGGGCTCAGTGCAAACTTGGCATGTTTCTGTAATATTCCCTTCCATGACATCTGGAATGGACTCACTGTGGCAAATTATAAATATAAAAGGAGAAGGCTGTGTCTCCTCATGCGCATAAAGTCAATACTTTTTCAGGAGGCGATCCTTTTTCAACAAAGGATTTCTGCCTTTCTCACCACAGGACAGTGGATTTGTTAAATAAGGCTAACACAAGAAATTATTGTTACTAGGGTTTCCTCATTGAGGTGCCAGTCCGGTTGTGGTTCAGGTATTACAGTCAAACTTTGAGGAATCTCAATTAGCCACTTCGATCCTCTGCTTTGTGACCATCATGGCTCGTTTGATTTGTTCGAAGGAGACGAACATCACGATGTTCCACGATCCCAACCTCAGGAATGAGGGCACGAATCTACAAAATGGAAAAAGTGAAGAGTGAAAAAATGAAATTGTGTGTCATGCAATGCTGCAATTTTTTTGGATTGATACCGATACCAATACTTTTAACTTATAATGTTATTTAGAGGAGAGCATAATAATGATTTATGAGATGAATCATCAATTTTTAATGACCACTGGATTACTTTACTCAATAATGAGTTAACACACCTCTCATTTCACCTTTTTTTTTTTTTTTTAAAGCCGCTATAGAGTAAACACTCAGACATTTTTCATATTTTATGCCTGAAGAATATTTTTCCTTTTATCCCGATTTAATTCAGTGGGCTCCATACTGAACGTGCAGGATATAAAAGTATCGATACTATCGATATTTGGATCTCTTGATCGTTGGCGGCGCAGGTGAAGAGGCTTACCCTTTGTAGAATGCTGTTGGTCCCTCTTTAGTTAACATGGTCCAGGCACAGTTAATGGCGCTCTTATACTGGCCCGGTGGTGAGTTCATGTATCTCGTCTTTACCACGTCTACCGGGGAGGCGATCACTGTGGTAACGAAGCCGGCGCCAAACGCAGACACAAAGTGGCACGGCAGATTGTCTGAGGACAGAGTTGGGGAAAAGATTACAATACGGTCTTTGTTCTCAGCTGTGCGACATAGAAAAACATGTCAGTGCAATCGTCTGAATGGGGCAATATAAGTTCTAGAGATAAATGCTAATATATTGCTATTGTACTCACTGCACCATAAAGAGAAAATACACCGTGTCCTGTACTGTAGGAGCCTGTTGTGCTGGTATCAGTTAAAGAGGTGAGAGGGTGTGTGGATTTTTTGCCCAATCAGCAGTCTCCCGGGGACTCTGTTTTTGTGAATGTGTGTGTGTGTGTGTGTGGGTTTGTGTAGCTCAGGCAAACAACCGTGAGCTGACCTCACCTGACAACAGCTTGTGTCTAAGAATGGCCTCCTTTATCAGGTCGTATGTAACCAGCTCTGTGCAGTTTACCAGGGCGTTTCTTGTGATGTTGGGTAATGTTCCTGAGGGAAACGGATACTTTAATCATTATTGATAAAGGATGTTTTGGTTTGTCTTTTTTAAATAATGGGCAACACTCAAAGAAGGTACCTTTCCAGAGCCCACGCAGGCCCTCGTGTTGGAAGATGTGTCTGTAAGCCTGCATGGTGCTGCTGTAGCGGCGGGCCACTCCGTCCAGATTCATCTGGGCTTGGAATCTAACCTTGACCACGTCGGTGGGCTGCGCAAAGGACACCGCCATGGCACCTGTGGTGCAGCCAGCCAGGATACGTACCAGTACACTAGGGTCTGGAGAGAAGGAAAGACTCAGTTATTTTAATAACAGGCTTGAGAACTTCTAATTTTAGTATCAGTTTTAACAAGGAAGATAAGAAACGGATTCAACAACCCAGACTGTGAGAATCCTTTATCGCTTTCAAGAGGGAGATAAGATTTAAGAGAGATAGCACTTTCCCTAAATCTTGTTTAACTTATCAGATTTGAAAAGCCTCTGTTCTGCGTGAATTATCTATTGCATGTTTGTCTGCAAGACATAGCCTTCCTTCACTCTCCCCACTTTTTTTATTTTTAAAATGAAGCTTTCCTTCATCTGAATTCCTTATCTAAGGGAATATAAGACCGACTGCATCTATCTGATAAACATCTTTTTGATTTTTGACAGCTGGATATTAAATCTCGAAATCACGACTGTCACCAGTAAGAACAATTATGAAGGTTTAATTAACTTAACCAAAAAATAAATGAAAAGGCAACAACTTACTGTCTTTGCCACCGGTGTAGAAATTTTTAACGTTGTCATAGAGGCCGATTCTGACGGAGGCAAAGCACAGCTGTCTCTGCAGCCCAGCCACCAGACCATTATACAGAGACTTGGGCCCTTCTGTTCGGATCATGGTGCTGATGGTCCCAAACACCCCTCTGTAGCGGATGTCCCCCACTGCCTTCTTCTCTCCTTGAATCTGGGGTCATACATTGTCCTCAAAGTTAAAACCAGCTTTACGGAGCAGCAGCAGAAAGCTTAAGACCAAACGGTTCAGAAAGGTGAAAAAGTTTGACCGAAGGGTGCTGAAGTGGACAAAGTTGACTTCTTCGTCAATAAGGCAAACATCACGCTGTGTCTCAGAGTAGGCTACAGCAAAGCAAGACCGGCTAAAGATCATATTGATAGCACAGTTAGTACCTGTAGTCTGACTTTGGCTGTGTCCAGAGGGAATGTGACCATGTCGGCTATACAGGCTGCTGCTCCAGCACTCGCCATCTTCACACCCAAAGGAGGAGGAACGTCTGAGGGTTTAAGTCCTACCATGTTTCCTACTGCTGGGACGACAGGTACGCATCCACGCACAGAAATACCAATTAAAACACAAAAAAAATCAGTGTAAGGTTCTCTTCTAGAAAGCAACCACATAAACATTAACCTCTTGTACAAATCATTTGTCTGTTTAAATGAAAGGTTAATCAATAATCAGAGTGGACTGATGCTCAAGACATGAAACACACTTACGATTGTAGTCCGAAATTGAAATTTCCTTTTAATCCTCGGGTGGGTTTTTGGTACCGAGCAGGATGCGATTGGTCAGATTAAAATCCACACCGGGCCCCACTCAGCGGGAAGGAAAGACTCATCATTTGCTGTGGTTTTATGTTTTCTGGCTGGCGTTTTTATGACATCCTCGGAGAGGCGTTACTGTGTACTCCTGTACACCTGGGTCAACTCAAAGTCCACAGACTGTCAGAAAGTCAATGTTCAAGTCACCTCACACAGAAAAACAACCATATAACTTCCCCGTTTTTCGAGTGTGTGAAACTCACGATTATTTCCATCCAAATTTCCACAGGTGTCATTAACTGATGACGATCTTTCTAAACATTATGTTCATGCTTTCAAATATAGTCTGTGGAGTGTGCATTTTCTTTCATTTCACTTGGTAGAATTTGTTTATCAGCGGATTTTTCTTCTATCCAGGATCTGTAACCGACTTTAATATTGTCTCAATAATTATTTAACTGTTCAGATGAACTGTGTGCCAAGCAGCAGCGATAACAGATCGGTATCAGGGTTCACCAGAGGCTCGTCTCCCCTCTCAGCCAATGACAGCAAAAAGCTTGTGATCAACAGCGTTCGGAGCTGACCGGCTAAATCAAGATCTGTTCCACAGACTTTATGGTTGAGCCTCACAGCAAATTACCCCTCTGTGCTATCAGCAGCATTGTTGTGTCATACAGTTTTTGCTCTGTTACCCCTCATTTATGATTTCTATTATCTGTCTCAGTCTAACAGCTTTTACATTTCATGTTAAAGATGTGCTTTTTTGGGGCTGGGGGGCAGAAGTGGGAGTGTGGTGATGTCAGCTGGCGACTGAAGTTCACAGTGAAGCTGATAAGAACTTTACATTGCACCATGTTTGGCCTCTCAGCAGTTTGCCAGCAGTCGCTCCTGTTCATAACATCACACATGGTGTATGTACGTAACAGTATGGAAAATGTAGATTCTTAGAAAAAGAGCAAAGACAAGAAAAACTTTGAGAATTATTCCCACATAACGTTTACTAATGCTGTCCCATTCGACAGCCCTATGTTAAAACTATCGCCATTAAGTTTATAATCATCAGATCTCTTCTGTCATTAAATTTTTAGTTTTTAAACATTTTTTCTGCATATTGGTTTGAGCACACCACAAACTACCCTCTACAAGACTGAATAAATACCCCTGAAAAACTGTTTCAACTAAAGCTTAACAACCTTCGTTAAATTAGATTCATTGCAGTGTTGTATTAAACTGCAATACTTATAGTTACACTGAGTATTTCCA